CCTGAGAAAGATGTTCTCTGCAGTTTGGGGCAATGATTCAGCACAGGAATAGAGACAGGTGCCTTCTGATCTCAATCTCCAGAGCCCACAACCCTAGTTTCTCCTCACACAGCTCCAGTACTATGCCTTCCCTCTTCTGGAGCCAGAGGTGAGTGGCTGCACACGAAACATTGTGCGTTGGCACTTTAAGAGGGTGCCTGCAGTTCCAGCTGCCTCTCCCTGGCAGACAGAAATGACTGCTTTTCATAGTCAAGTGTTATGTGGGCACCTTTCTCAGATCTGGTGCTCTGGGCTGGGAAGCACAGCTTGGGGGTTAGGCCCCAGAGTCCTCAATGGAAACCCCCCACAGCTGAGATCTTTTTTGGACCTTCAGCTGCTGCCTGTGGGAGCCCAGCCAGCCCTCTTGCGTCCGCACTCCCTACCAGTCTCTGTGTGGTCTCCCCTTTTCCTCCTTGGTTATGAGGGTGCTCTCCAGCTCCTTTTCAGTTGCAGTTGATTACTCAGGATGTTTTTTCTATATTTTAGTTGTAATTCCAGTTTGGTCCTGGGAGAGTGTCAGTGTAGCTTCCACTCAGTCTGCTGACATCTTCAGTCCCTCTGCCCACATAATGAAATAAATTAAATTCTCAAGCTTAGCAAAACACCAGGATTATTTCTGGTCTCTAGAAATGAAAGCAAATATTTGGACAGGTGATAATTATTTTGATCAATTTTTAGACCACCATATATGCTCATTTTTAAAGGTGCTTTATTGATAATTTTAATGTTTGGATATCTCACAATAATATTCTGCCTTCACAGTAAGCAGACACAACTTTTCTTCCCAGTGCAGAAAGGACCTATGTATACTGGGAAGTGATTAAATGGAATTTTCATTTTCATCATTTCAATAATGACTCCATGTCATTTTTTCTCACAGCTACTAAAATACAGGAGGAAAAAAGTCAATGTGTCTTTTATGATTTAATTAATTTCATAGCCTTGAGGTTTTCAAATTATTTTCTCCAGAAATCTAGCCCTTCGAGCAATGATAAAAGGTAGGCAGGACTTCTGCCTCAGTTAAACTTCAAAGCTGATATTAAGTGTTTTCTGTTTTGACTCATTTTGTTTCTGTCATTGACATCTGGACTGGCCACTGGTAAAGGACAGAGGAGACCTTCTAAACAGCAGCAGCCGAATTTAATGTGCCCTCTCCAAGCCTGCTTACACAGATCATGAGGTTCTATTGATCAAGTAAAATTTGTCGTACATTTCATGTCAACAAGATGAAGCAACATAAATATTAATTGCTCATATTTTAGAAAAAGTATGTTAGGGAAATGACAGGTGTCTATTCCTTTGTGTTCAGGCTCAGTTTTTCACTTGAACACATAATTAAGCTTTTGAGAAAATGAGATGAATTTTCTCACCACCAAGCTGCTCCTGGGACATTTTCTTTTCTTAATTTTTATTTTCAATTACAGATGACACACAATATTATATTAGTTTCTGGTGTACAAAATAGTGATTAGACATTTATATACCTTTGAATTGATCACCCAGCTATATCTATTATCCACCTGGCACCATACATTATTTCTACAATATTATTGGCTATATTCTGTATGCTGTATCTTGCATTCCTTTCACCTTTTTCTCCCATCTTCCCCAACCCTGCTGGAATATTTTCACAAAGTTACATTTATTGACACCTTACATTTTTTAATCAGTCTACCTCTGAATTCCTGGCTCACTTCACCATTGTATTTCCGAGAAGTATGACTTTTTCTCTCTGTCCACAATGAACAATTTCGTATTTAGTCTACTGACATGGAATCTCTCACGTAACATCTACCTACTTACACATAACCTACTTTACATCAAATGTGGACTCACAGTAGGCGCTCGTCTCTTGGGTCCTCTGACCTTACCGCAGACTGCATCAGATCCAAGGCACCCCGCCTGGCAGGTGGAAGGATGCGAACTTGGTGCTGCTGCTGGTTCTCCAGCTTGCAGGTGAAATGCTTCAAAGGAGAGTACTGTCCTTTAGAACACTATTTTGTTGCAAAGCAGGGACCATAACATGACTCTGTTCCCAACTGGTATGATACAGGAGTCTTGAGACCAAGGGGTTGGAATCAAGAATGAAAGTAAGAGTAGCCCTGCTTGCCAACAATCTAAGTGATTTACTTAGAGAACTTCCCCTCCCACCCCTGTATCTACAGACAGCCCCCTCCCCCTGTGTGTCTAGAGGTCCCTGGGGGGAAAGAAGCTTTTACTTGAGGGCGCAGTGTGAGATCCACTCTACGCGGGCTACCGCTGCCAGCAGCAAACACAGAAAGCGGCCACTGTACCGTCAGGGCTGCTTGACCAGGGTCATCGTGGGAGGCCTGGCTGCCCCTACATGACGAGGACAGGAGAGAATATGTTCAGCCTTATTTCATTCAATGAGACATAGTTTTGTTCTCTCATTCCCAGATTTAACTGTATATTGGCAAGTAAATCAACCATGGCCTAGTAAGGTCATGACAATAAAAGGCTTAGACAACTCAGGAATAAAGATTTGGGTCACCCCAGCAAAAACTAATCTAGGCAGCTGTAGTAATAGGGCATGTGGGAGAAATCTAGAAGGGATGACAGAGGGGAAAGACAGCATCAAAATCAACTGGAACATCTATCTAACTCTTACAATTCTCCCCCAAATTATGACCAGCCAGAACCATGTAGCATCTGAGATTAGAAGGGGTAAAATTAATTCAGAAATTAGCAGCTACATTCACGTATTGCGCAAATTTTATAACTAACATAGGTCTAGGTCTAGGGACTAGGAAGGATTAAAAGTGATCAAACTCTCTCACATTACAAATATGGATAGAATGGAGAGAGAATGGGCTTTCTGAGCTCTCAAATGCATTTAATAAGTACATATTTTAGAAAAATTAGATGTTAGTAACATAGTTCTAGTGCTAGAAAAATCAGAAAAAAAGATGTCATCTTAATCTGTTTAATAACATTCAATCACATTTAAAAAAATATTTATATTCATATTATTGAAAGGACAAAAGTTCCTTTAATAAAGGGGATGAAGACAGTGTGCCATGAGAAATTATTTTCAGGATAAGCCTGATGAATTTCAAAGAACAATACATCTGGCAAGATAAAATTTAAAAAGGGGTGCATTTAGGAGCATGATTGAAATTATGATACATAGATATTTCTTTAAATGGGATCTGGTTATCTGAATTGTTAACATTATGTAACACATGAGGAAACTGAAGAAATGTTACAAATATTCCTTTCAGCCCAGTGAGAAACACTCCCTCCTGCTGGGAATAGAGTGGGCTTTCAAAAACCTATGTATTTTCAAGTGTATAAGAGCCGGAGTCAGGAAAGGAAAACAGTCATTTAGAAGCAGTAACAGTCACAGCTTACACATTTTGTCACATTTTCTCAACAACATCATCTGATTTTAGGGCATATGAAGGGCAGACTTGGAGAGCATCGTGGTAGAGAGAGTCTATCCTACTACTTTAAATTTAGCATTTCCAACGTCTCTCCAGATTTGTCCTCAGACAGCCTGGATTTCGGTGCTCAGAAATGCTTTTGTCAGGTTGGTGGGTTGATGGGTTTTTTTTCTTTTCTTTGATCTGTAAGTAGTAGAAAGCATAGGTACGCTGTGTTTTAGAAGGTTTCTGAGAATAAAAAGAGACAATGTGAAACTTCTTGGCACAGGAACGGCAGCCAGACCTTTTAGGGACATTGGAAGGCTTCTGTTCTTCTGTGGCCACCGCTTTGTGTCACATCCACCTTTGTTGCTCAGATGGAATTCTTTACCGATGCTATTAATAACCATTTTCCTGGAAAAGTATATGTCTCCTAGTGGCTGTGTATAACAGAACTGTGGATAAATCACAATTTCTCCATTTTATCATTTCTTAGAAACTCTTCAGGATGAGTTGTTGAAACAAGGAGTTGGAAGGACCAAGGACGCTTTGCTGGGGAAGGCCACCGACTGGCTTGCTAACGGCCACTCTCATTGTCAGCTGCTTCCAGGGCCGGTAACGTAAGCCTGATCCTAGCCCAGAAGGAAATGCGTGTGAGACCCATTAGTTTTCAGTGAGGAAGTAATTGACATTTGGATAACTGCTCTTTCCACATTTGTTGCAAGTTCAAAATGTTTTTGAGTTTCGGACTGCAAATTTTGGAGATGATTATTTACATTGCTGTGAGCTATAATGTCAAACATATTCTAATCTAAGGCATTGACTCTGGTGGATTCCTTTGCTTGAGAGGTCCTTGTAGGAGATAACTTCTGCTTCTAGACTAGATAAAGTAATGCAGAATGTATTTGTTCTCCTGCCTGAAACAACCAAAATAAAACAATGTGTGGAACAATCATTTTCAAGACAGTGAACATGAAAGAGGGTGAACTTAGAGAGAAATGGGAAAAAAAAAAAAACACCCCAAAAAACTTTAATCCTATACCTTTTCCAAATTAAAGCCTTGAGGGAGTTTCTAAGCCATGCACCAGGAGTGGGTACCCTAGTAGTCTTCATGAGTTGAGGAGGTAGAGCTACATCCAGAATGATTAAAAGGATTAAGGTGGCTAGGGTTCAGGGGACAGAGTAACAGAAAGGAGGACACTGCACGGAGAAAAAGCATTGGAAACCTGCGGATGGCCCTGCTTGAAAATTCAGTGGCCTTTTGAACACTACTAACCCATGAGAACACTACACAAGGTCTGAGAAGGAATTATTTTTCCCTGAAGGGCTGGAAGGAAGACTACTCCGTGCTCACTTAGCACTGAGAGCTATGCCTCCTGCTACCGGCCGGACTAGAAACACTCATATGCACCAGCATGGGATAGAGAAGCGGGGCCAAGCTACCCCGAGCCCAGAGGTTCTCAAATGGTCCTGGTAGGAGGGGCCCCAGTTATGCACCTTAGGGGGCAGTTCGCAATGACTGGAGACATTTTTGGTTGTATACCTGGGGACGGGGTGCTACTGGTGTTTAGTGGGTAGAGGACAGCGGAGAGGAAGGGAGAAGGAGAGAGAGAGAGATAGAAACATCAATGATGAGAGAGTCATTGATCAAGCCCACAACCAGGGCATGTGCCCTGACCAGGAATTGAACCCTGATCGCCTGGATCCTAGGTCGATGCTCAGCCGCTGAGCCACGCCCGGCTGGGCTGTAAGGCATCTTATTACAAAACCAATAGGCATGGAAGAAGTAAGAAAATACAGTCTACAATTAGGAGAAAAGTTAATTAATCAAAACATAACTGAAACTAACACAAATGTTACCATTAGAAAAAGAAAGGATATTAAAACAGGTATAGCTTGTTAAGATGTAGAGACAACGAAGACATTAAAAATACCAAAACCAACCTTCTGGATATAAAAATTACAAATGAGATGAATTAAGAGCAGGTTAGACTTTGCAGAAGAAATGAAATAGTTAATTTGAAAAAATAGCAAGAGGCCCTGCTGGGCGTGGCTCAGTGGTTGAGCTTCGACCTAGGATCCAGGTGATTGGGGTTCGATTCCTGGTCAGGGCACATGCCCAGGTCGTGGTCTCGATCAATGACTCTCATCATTGATGTTTTTGGCTCTCTCTCTCTCTCTCTCTCCTTTCCTCTCTCTGAAATCAATAAAGATATATTAAAAAAGAAAAAGGAAAAATAGCAAGAGAATCTATCTGAAAATGAAGCATTGAGAAAAAAAAGGGGCTGAAAAAACAATGCACAGAATACCACCAGTAAACTGAGGGACAAGAGCAAAGGACTATACATAGGTTTACAGTCTCCAAAAGAGAGAAGAAAATTGAATTGGGGAAAGGGGCATAATACATATAAAAAAATAAGTGGCTTAATATTTTTTTTGTATTTTTATAGACTTTATTTTTTAGACTAGTTTTAGATTTATAGAAAAATTGAGCATGTGGTATAGAGAATTATATATATGTCCCTCCACCTTGCACACTGTTCTCCCTATTATTAACATCTTGCATTAGAATGAACATTTGCTTCAATTAATGAACCAATATTGGTACATTATTACTAACTGAGTCCATAGTGTATTCAGATTTCCTTAGTGTACACGTGGTGTCCTTTTTTAGTTCTGGAATCCCTTTGTGGATACCATGTTTCATTTCACTGTCATGTCTCCTTAGGCTCCTCTTGACAGTGCTGTCTTTCAGGCTTTCATTGTTTTTGATGACCTCGACATGCTATACATTAATTGTACAAGTTATATGTGAATATAAGATATAAATGAATCCCACAGGAACATATTGAGCATCACCTACTACAGGCCAGGTGCTTTGCTAGATATTGGAGACAATGAATAAAATAATATGAGTCTACCTTCATGGAGTTTACGGACTAGTAGAGGAGATGAAAAACAAGCCAATAAATAAATAGATTTTGAAAAGTGCTCTGAAAGGAATAAAGAATAGATTTCTATGATTGGGAAAGCAGGAAAGGAGTTAGTTTTAACAGAAGGGTCAGAGAGAGTCTCTCTGAATATTTTTCTCTATAGGATAAAAACTATGACCTACAGATATATAATATCCCCAACACAGAAAACTGAAAAAAATTACATAAAGGCATATCATAATGAAATTCTCTAAAACCCATGATGAAACACCTTACAGTGATAGGAAAAGACACAGTTTGTGCATGGAAACAAAGAATATCATGATGGTAGATTTTTTTTCAGGACCTAAGCGTGAGAAGACGATGGGTTAGCATCTT